AATCTGGAGTTGACAGAACTGGGTTGCTCATAAGGACAGATTTGATTTTATGAAAGGATTTTTCACAGTCCTTTGTCCATTCAAACTTAACCCTCTTCTGCAAAAGATTTGTAAGTGGGGACTAACTACTGAGGAAAAATTTGGACAAAATTTTCTGTAAAACCCAGCCATGCCCAAAAACCTCATTAACTCTTTCTTGTTTGTAGGAATCGGGAACTTTGCAATAGCTTCCACTTTAGCCATTATGGGTGTAACATAACCTTGACCTACTTTATGACCTAAATACTCTACATAAGCATGACAAAATTCGCTCTTCTCAAGGTTCACAGTTAAGTTTGCTTTAGCTAAAATGTCAAATAAAGCACGCATGATTCGGATATGTTCGTCCCATGTGTTGCTGTATATGATGACATCATCAATGTAGGCCTCGCAACCCTCGAGGTTTTGAAGAAGGGAGTGAATCATCCTTTGGAATGTAGCCGGTGCGTTTTTCATGCCAAAAGGCATTACTTTATACTGGTAAAGTCCATCTGGTGTAGCAAAAGCAGATATTTCTTTTGCTCTTTCTGTTAACGGCACTTGCCAGTAGCCTTTCAACAGGTCAAATTTACTGACAAATTTGGCGTTTCCAATGCTGTCAATACAGTCATCAATTCTAGGTATTGGATATGAATCAGTTTTGGTAACAGAATTCACCTTTCTAAAGTCTGTACATAATCGGTACGAACCGTCTTGTTTTGGTACAAGAATACATGGTGAGCTCCAATCACTTTTACTAGGTTCAACAATGTCATTGTCCAACATGTACTGCACTTCCCTTCTTAGGTACTGCAATTTTATTGGATTCAGACGGTACGGATGTTGTTTGATAGGCAGAACGTCACTCACTATGACATCATGACAAGCTGCATTAGTTTTCTTTGGAACATCCGAAAAGATTTGATGATACTCATTCATCAAGGTTCTTTTTGATGAATGTTCAAATGTCCAAGTTTGGCATCAAAATCAGCCAAAATTTCTGAGTTTTTCAAGCGGACACTCTGATTACAATCTTTCTCATTCATTTCTACACTCGTATCACTTTCAATACAATTTTGAACAGTCTTAGCATTGGCCAAAGTGGAAACTGGTTTTACAGAATTTCGGTCACACCTTTCAAAATACTCTTTTAACATGTTAATGTGACAAACCCGTTTCTCTTTACGTCGACCTGGTGTCTTAACTACATAGTTTACATCACTAATCTTGCTTTCAATTTCATAAGGGCCATAAAATCTGGCCTGTAAAGGATGACCAGGAATAGGTAAAAATACAAGAACCTTATCACCTGGCTTAAACACCCTATTTCTAGCATCTTTGTCATACCACATTTTCATTTTCAACTGAGAACTCTTCAAATTTTCTTGTGCTAATTAAAAAGCCTAATTTACAAGCATTGTAAAGTTTTTCTTTGAAATCAGACACATAATCTAAAAGATTAAGATCACTAGTCTCAGTCAGCCACTTTTCCTTCAGCAATTTCAAAGGACCTCTAACTGTATGACCGAACACCAATTCAAAAGGACTAAACCCAAGAGACTCCTGGACTGCCTCTCGTGCAGCAAATAGTACAAGATGAACCCCTTCATCCCAGTCTTTCTCATACTGGTAACAATAGGTCTTCAGCATTGTTTTTAGGGTTTGATGAAAACGGTCTAGCGCTCCCTGGGACTCAGGATGATAAGCAGTTGATCTATATTGCCTTATACCCAACTCATGCATGACTTGCTGGAACAACCCCGACATAAAATTTGAGCCTTGATCCGACTGAATTGCCTTGGGTGCTCCTACAAAACTGAAAAACTTGGTTAGGGCCTTAACTATGCTCTTTGCCTTTATATTCCTAAGAGGTATGGCTTCAGGAAATCGAGTGGATGTACACATAATGGTAAGTAAATACTGGTTTCCAGATCTAGTCCTAGGCAAAGGTCCTACACAATCCACCAACACTCGACTAAACGGTTCTTCAAAAGCTGGAATTGGTTGGAGAGGGGCGGATGGTATCTTCTGATTTGGTTTACCTACCATCTGACAGACATGGCATGACTTGCAAAACTTCGAAACATCCTTTCTTAGCTTAGGCCAATAAAAATGACTCAAAATCCTATTATAAGTCTTATTGATACCTAAATGACCAGCCATAGGTGTATCGTGGGCTAAACTCATGACATCTCGATGATAAGCAGCTGGGACCACTATCTGGTGAACAACACGCCACACTTCATCTGGAGAAGCGTCAGGTGGTCGCCATTTTCGCATAAGGATGCCATCTTTCATATAGAAGCATTCTCCAACTTTAATAGCCTCTTCTGGTGGAAGTGCCCTCTTACTAAGTTGAATGATATCTGGGTCTTTATGTTGTTCAGAGAGTAAACGTTCTCGGCTGAGGATGTCCTTGCCTTGGCTAACTAGTGGATGCAACTCATCATCCTCACCACCAAATTTTGGTAAAAGTTCTTTCTTCTCTTGCTTCTTCATATTGTGTGGTTCCATGCTTGTTTGAGTGCCATCAAGGTCAGATAAGAAAGTGTCATTCAAATCAATATCAACAGAGGAATTCGTCTCGTCAACGGCTTGAGTATGGTCTGCCTCCATTTCTCGTCTTCTGGCCATCGCTCTAGTAACAGCACAGGCTGGATAAATGTCATCATCTTCATCATCGCACATGACATCTGGAGTGATTTTCTCACAAACTATAGGATCTGGTACAACTTTTCCACCAGCTAAATCGTTGCCTAGCAACAAAGAAATGCCTGGAACAGGAAGAGTAGGTCGAACACCTACGATAACAGGTCCAGTAACTAAATCTGACTTCAAACTAATTCTATGTAGGGGAACATCAATGACGCCTAGCTCCACACCCTGTAATAAAACTGACCCACCAGTAGAAGTCTGCTCAGACAAAGGAAGCACGCCCTCTAACAATAACGTCTGTGCAGCACCAGTATCTCTCAAAATCTGGACAGGTTTTATTTCGCTAGAGTCACCGAGTGAAACAAATCCCTGAGACATAAAGGGCTTATAATCCTCCATAGAATCAATAGAACTGGACTGTGAACCCTGGACATCAGGAGTGTCAGAACAAATCGAAACTAAGGCTTCTCTATCTCCTCTAACTGCCGCACAAGCATGTGGTTGAGTTTTATCAAAGTCATTTTTTCTCTTAAGTTTAAAGCATTCACTGATCAGATGACCTTTTTTCTTACAATAACTACAAGTAGGAAGCGACCCTATTCCAGAAGATCCTTCAAAACGTCCTGGACCGGACTTAGAACCACCTTGGGATGGAGACTGGGAACTTGTGAAAGACTGAGACCCTGAACCACTCTTTTTATATGTGTCTGAATTTGTAGAATTACTGCTAGTCTGAGATCTCGATACAAAATTCTTTTTATGAGACAGAGCATAAGTATCAGATATGACTGCTGCCTCTTCAAGAGTTTTCACATTCTTATCTTCTAAATGTGTTTTCAAATCTTGAGGAACACACTCCTTAAACTCTTCTACCAGGATGACTTGGCGCAAATTAGCAAAAGTTTTATCAAGTTTCTTAGATCTAAACCAATGATCGAATAAATCTTCTTTCTCTCGTGAAAATTCAACAAATGTTTGGTTATCAAACTTCCTATACTTTCTGAATTTTTGTCTATATGCTTCAGGTACTAATTCATATGCTTTTAATATTGCTGCTTTGACCTTCTCATAGTCTGAACTCTCAACTACCCCTAGTGCAGAGTATACCTCAGCTGCTTTGCCAACCAGTACACTTTGTAACATTGTTGACCAAACATTTTGTGGCCATTTAAGATTTTCTGCGACTTTTTCGAATTGGGGAAAATACTTGTCTACAGATTTTTCTTGAAATTTTGGAACTAATCTAATATTTTTTGCTGCGTCAAATTCATTCTTGACAAATGACGGTTCTGGTTGGTGCTGTAATTTTAATTTCTCTAATTCAAAGTTCATTGCACGCTCTCCTCTTTCTGCTGCTAATTTGTCTAATTCAAATTTTCGTTCACGCTCTCGTTCTTCTCTTTCTCTTTCTCGCTCTTCTCTTTCTTTTTCTCGATCTTCTCTTTCTAATTTTTCTCTTTCTAATCGCATTTTCTCTAACTCTAATTGAAACTGATATTCTGCCATTTTGTAAGAGCCTAACTCTGATTTAATTGTATATTCTAGAAGATCATATTTTTCAAAGACGTTTTCTTCTACTAGTTTGTTTGCAACCTTAATTCTAATGTCTTGCTTTCTCTGAGAGGATTTAACATCTAACCCAAAATGCAAACCTAATGCGATCAAGTCATCCTTTTTTAACGTATCAAAAACCTGAACACTTGGTGAACTAAGAAAGTCTGTGACCGAAAACACCATGTTGATTTCTGCTGGCTTATAATCAAATTTAACGGTTCAATAAACAAAATTCTGACAATAAACTGCAAAAGTGCAAGAAATTCTTTATCCCGGACGAGCCCCCAATTCTGTTATGGGTCAGAATTACCCGAAATGCCAGCAAAGATCAATAACACAATTTAAACTTAACAATAGTTTATTTACAGTAATATATAATAAGTATATGAAACATAAAGTACAAACTTAGCAAGAATCTAATAATACATACATCAGAGTGTCCGTTGCTGCACACAATGTCCCAATGAAAATATATCCCAGTTATATCTCAATAGTGCTTATACGACAAAGTATTCACAATTATTGTATATGCATCGAATTGACAGGGTATTTATACAGTATCATAAATCTAGAATATTCTAGAAATTATTAAAACATGATATTACTGGAACAATCTGGACATACACAAAATTTAAGAATGTTCTAGATCAAATGACCGAACATGTTGACCTACTCTGGAATGTTCAAGAAACTTAATGTTACTAATTATATACATAATGAAACAACACCTCTCACAACAATCAGTGTTAGGAAAAATTCTAAAGAAGCAAAGATTTCAGGTAACAACACTTTATTGTAACATAATTATCTTAAAACTGCTAAATGTAATTTAAAAATAAAATGCTGATGCAGAGTTCATGATCACTATGGCTCAATACTTCATCTTTTGTATCTACGGCTCTGTGGTGCTTTGTGAGCTTGGCTTTCCATGTTGTTCAGTCTGAAATCAAATTATAAAATGTAAATAATTTGTTTTTATTTTAAAACATCTGCAACTAAAACCAGAAAAAACTGGGGAAAAATAATTATTTATGGTACCTGATGCTGAACATGTCAGTGTGGAAATTCAGCCACTTGCCCAGGCTATACTGTTCCTGGGGTAGGGTGCTCAATTTCAAAGCTACAATGAAATAGACAAGTGATAATAATAAAACCTAAGTAAAATCTAATCCATTGTTATGAGCTAATGATCATAAGTGTCAGATTTTTTATGTACTAGTATATGAATTTCTTGGAGGGGGGGTCATACTTACCTAATAGTTTCTCGGCTTCCTCGGCATCGTTCATAAGAGCTGTTAAAATAAGCCTCATCTGCACGTTCTCTGAAAATGTAATGAAAGAAAAGTTAAGCACATATTCGGATAAAATATGAGAAGACATCGTAAAATGGTAATTGCACAAAAAGTACAAAAAATCAACAAAATTAACCTTCTGCAAGATCTGCCATTTTTCTTCTGAGGTCTTGCATTGTAGTGTTGAACTGACGAACAAACTGAACACAGCCAACAAACGAAACAACAAAAAGCAGAAAGGCAAGAAAGAAGAGCAGATCTGTTGCCGAGAAGTAAGACAGAGCAGCAGCAGAAGTGGTTGTGGTAAAGCTGTAGACACTGTCACCAAGCGACAGCAGCTCACGCTAAGAGAAAGTTAAGAAAGAGAGAGTTAGAAAGTTTATAGAGAATGAATGCTAGAACACAAACACAATAAAACGAAAGAACACCGAGTAGATAAAAAATTTCATCGAATTCCAGTAAGCAACTTACCCCTAACGTGGCACCCATCTCATTACTGAACTGCCACACATCACTACCCAACCTGTAAACAAAACAAATAGCGTTGCTAAGGACGCTCTATTGTAAAGCAACAAATAATTTGACGCTATTTATCAAATATTATATAATATTATATTTTCATTTACTTACTTAACTATGTCTAGATGCAGGGCACGGCCTGTTGTTGACAGAAATGTGCCGAGAATGGCGGCAGATCTGATGATCTTGGAGGTTCTCATTTTGCGTCTATCTCTCTCTATGCGTTAAATGCAACTGATGCTGAATCCTAGAGCTCTCGTGCTTATATGCTTTTTCGGGAATATGCATGCTGTTGATTGGCTCAATTTCGCTCGTGCTGATTGGTTCCCACAAGGTGAGTTATCCAATGAGCGAAGAGCGCCAAAACGTTGTACTCACGTCAAAAACAAGATGGGGTTCGGTTTTGTGCTTCATAGTCTGCAATGTTTTGTCAATATTGTCTAGTTTTTATAAATTCATCATATATGATTGCCTTAATTGGAATCATTAATTAATCATTTCTTTGAAAATATATGTGGATAAAGCAAACATCATGCTTTTGTCAATAAAATTTCATTAAACAACTGCCCAGATGGACCAAAGAAACCTACTAGTCATATTTGGGGATGTTTCCAGTATAGGTATTACAATAACTATTAATTCTTTGGCATATATTGATCAAACACAACTCATAAAACAATATTTAACAAATTTTTAAACGTTTTATTCAAAATTGTTTTTATTAATAACATGTTGCTCTTCCATAGAAAAACACGTGAAGGCTTGAATTTGATGTCGGAATTACAATTAGCTAGTTACCTTTTTTGAGAAAAAAAATAATCCAAACAAACCATTTCAACATAAGGAGTAAAAATCCATATGCAAATACACGGTATTGAGTGTATTTTATGTAAAATCCGTGTTCAACGTTTTGTTTACAAATGTGTTACTATGACGTCATGACAACGCCATTCTGGCGGAATAATGCATGAGTGAATTTTTCCAAAAAAGAACACGTTTTAATCCAAATATTCCATGGTTTTCTAATGAAAATCACATATCATGTGTTAAGAAGACGTGTCTTGCACATTAAATTATGAAATGTACAATGCAAAAGCTCGACTTTTAGCTAGGCCTGATTGAAACTCATGGTTGTAAAGAACATGTATTTTTCCTTAAATTTACATACACTTTATAAATGAACTTACCAACGGATGTAAATAAATCTCACTTTTAAGAAAACCCGCCAATATAAGTAGTGTATTCGGTGGAATAATTTGAATGTTTGACATTTTTTTTATTTCTTAAAGTGTGTTCCGTTTTTATTCAATGTAAAGTCATATAATTATTATGGCGTAGTTTTGATAAGTTTAGACTAAATAAAATTTTTAAAAAATCTTTCTATTTGTTTTGTTACTTTATAAAAAGGTAGGACGTTCCTGTATATAACACAACTTAAATCAATCACGTTTCACAGATATCCGAGATTTAAAACAAATCAATAACCGATTTTTTTCCGACTAGCCAATGAATAGCCTATCAGACACAAAAGTCATTTTAAACTGAGTCACTCTAACTATAGAAACGTGGAGATATTTAAGTTCCAAATCGGTGAGAAAACTAATTTGAACGTAAATAGCATATATCATGTAAATCCACTTGCCTGTGTGTGAAGTTTGATGATGCTAATTTTCGTTAATTTCTTCTTATTTAAAAAAAAAATTACTTCATTAGGGTAAATTCGGGTAATTCCGGACAAAACTCACATAAGCGTTGTTCGGTGGGAGTAGCAGCGCGAAACTGATTGATGGGTAACCCAGTTTTGAATCGATGTGTGAATTCCATGCATAATCCTCGATAAATTGATGTTTTAGATTGTTTTCCCCCAGGTCTTATTCAAATATTAGCAAAATAAAACGTATTGGCAGAGTGGGGTAAATCCGGACACAATGCGGGTAAATCCGGACAGGCCAATCTTGTATGGCGGCGTAAACGTGCAATGCCAAATAATAGCATACAGTAAGTAAATAGATTATTTGTAAGATTTCAAAGATCCGCAGCACGATTATATAAAGCATCTCAGTTGTTAATACAGTTCTATTTAGAAATATTTTAAATTAAATTTCTTAGTATCTTACATCTCGTTTGTTACTTTTGGACTTCAGAATCTATGGGGACGACCATTTGTTTTTGATGAGAGGGGAGTTTGCATTTTACAATAAATAATCTGTTCTTTAAAAGAATAAAACTATATACTATCAAATGAGAATAACATATTAAATAATCCGATCCTGATTGATATGTCACTACCTCCCCCCCCCCCCCCCCTTCCCTTTACAAACACGCACATATGGATGTGTATGAAAATTCTACGATTTTTTTTGGTGTATAACTTTATCATTGTTTATTCATGTGGTGTACTGTGGCTTTATAGTAAATACTAATTTAGGCTAAAAGTACAGAAAAGACCAATAATTCGATTTTTTGCGTCAGAATATCTATTTTTGCAAATTCTTTTATTCTAAACACAATGAATGAATATTCATCAAAGAAGAATCCAAGAATGAGACAGAAGATGTACAAAGTAAGATTTTTTTCGATGGATGAGGGGGGGGGGGGGGTATTTATGAATTTTAAATATCAATTCGACAAGTTGACATCGCTATTAATCTGAATTTCTTTTTTTTTAAGCGAGCTTTTATATTTGGTTGACATTAAAATCGCTGAGGTACATTTCGAAGTCATGAGTACATTTGTTAATAAACATCTACCGGGAAACTGCGATCATAATTTAACCATAGTGATACTGAATAAAACTTCAATTGATGCCGGAAAGAGAGACCGGCCTTTCATTTAAACATTTTCATTCCGTTTAAACCAAAAAAAAAAACAAAAAAAAAACGCAACAATCCCTTGAAAGTCTGTTTGTTGAGGCACGCGTTGAAAGGTAAAAAAAAAATCAATGCCTTTTTGCATCAATCAATGGAATGACCTGACAACCCCTTGGTATAATGGAATAGCCATTGGATATATAAATTAAAGCGTCAGTCGCATTGATGACAAGTTATACAGCTGTAAACAGCGGAGAAGAAGTCATATATTAACAAAAGGAAAAGAGAACGCTAAGATCATCGTAACTGAAAAGCATCAATGGTAAGTTAATTTAGGAACTTTAAAATACTTTAATTTGATCAGAAACTCAGAGTAAGGATATACACACACACATACGATCTTGGGAGAAGTAGAATACACCTTTTAAAAATAACGTTACAACAAGTTGCTAATAAATTAATTTTGGTTGTAACGCTGTAATTAATAAGATAAAAAAAATTACTTTTATATATCGTATAAAATGGGTTGCCTACGTCACAATGACTTCC